TCGATCCTGTAAAGACATTTTTCTCAGTAATAATAAATATTAATAAAGACTTTCCAAAACTTTTGGTACATTTTCATAAGGTAAACAAAAGGAAACCTTTCTAGAACACTAATCATTTCTAACTTAAGAATTCTAAACTCTTCATGGGGTAGAACAAAGGCCTTTTTTTTTTGCTTTGTGCATTTTTGTGAAATGATTTTAATGTTCACATTTTATGCAAAGAGCTTCCATATTAATAAAGGTGAATTTCTTCAAAACCTTTAAAATGTATGAGAGCTTAAGAATAAGCATTTGAAGAATCTTATTCCAGTACAGCAATTATGGAAAACAGGATGGAGCATCTTCGAAGTGCCTACACTGGGGAGATAGCCAAAGGAAATGAAATCTTGTATGTTAAGAGATATATGCACTCCCAGACTCACTGCAGCACTGTCTATAACAGTCAAGATTTGGAACCATCTTAAGAGCCCATGAACTAATGAATAAAGAAATTGTGCTACTTACACATAATGGAATACTACTTAGCTTTAAAAATATGGTATTTCCATTTACAAGGTGGATGGAACAGGAGATCATTTAGATAAGCCAGGCAAAGAGACACGTATATCACATGACCTCGTTCATATGTAGAATGAAGAAAAATGTTGATCTTACAATATTGCAAGGTACAATAGGAGTTACTAGAAGCTCGAAAAAGTAGGGAGAGAGAGAAATGTGGGTCAATAGGTACTAATGCACAGTGAAGCAAAATTCCTGGTGCATTATTGTACAGTGGGTGCCTATTATCTAATGTCTGAGTTCACTATTTTGGGCAGGCCCACATATCACTTACGACTGTGATATAAGATTATATTTCTTTGTTTCCTTGAGGCAGGGTTTTGCAATTTAGTCTTGGCTGGCCTTGAATGCCCTACATAGACCACGCTGGTGTGAAGTGGCAGCAGTTCTTCTGACTCTGCATTACTGCTGGGATTACAGGCTTATGGTTACCATGGCTGTTGGATATATTTATGTTTCAGAAATCAAATTACATATGCTTCCTAGTTAGAAAAATTCTAAAACAAAAATATGTAAAAATAGAAGTTAAAATACCCTTTTGTAGGCCTTCATACATGGGGCAGAACATGTGTGGGGAAAGTACTCTGTGCTGTACAGAAAAGTTGGACACTGTAAATGACACATCTAGTGTCATTTAGTTTCCAACTTTCCCAGCTCTCTGACCACTTCCAATCTTGAAAGTGCTTTTCTCCCTTAATAAATGTGTTACTATTTCTACCATTAAAAAAATACCCTTTTGTTCTGCTATCTACCTTATTCTGTTGTCAGTTTTAGAACTACTTCCTTAGGGGGGGAATATCTATATATATCTATATATATAAATTGCACAAAGATTTTGCTTTTTACTTAAACCAATATACTTAACTATTCTGTGACTTGCTCTTTAAACATATGTCACAGAATAATGTATGTTGGGGATTCATCTGTTTTTCCTTGGTGCACAGTATTTTATAACAATGAATACACAATTAAGTCAGATTCCTATTAATGAACACATGTTCCATAAGTTAAAATCAGTGCAAGAGTGAATCACATATTATGTGTAGACACAGATATCTGTGTATATGCCAGGGAAACCTTTTGTGAGAAGTAGAAGTGCTTGAAAATAGATTATCTGTATTTAAGTTAGGTATTGTTAAATTGCCTTTCTTAAAAACGCTATCACCAGCTGGGCATGATGGCACACACCTGTAGTCCCAGCACTTGGGAGGGAGAGGCAGGCGGATCTCTGTGCATTCAACACCAACCTGGTCTACATAGTGAGCTCCAGGCCAGCTACAGGGCTACAGGGAGACCCTGTTGCAAAAGGCGCCCCCCCAAAAGCTATCGCCAAGGTTTTTTATACAAATGTATGAATGGTTTTCCCCTAGACCCTCACCATTCTGTTTAATATCAATGTTTTGGATTCCACCATCTTGATAAGCAAATTCTGTCTCTCAGGCTAGTAGTTTTCCTTGATTTTGGAGGAGTATTGAGTACTATTACCACATAGCTCTAACATGGTCAGCATTTCCAGAACTTTTTAGTCCTTGAAAATTTCATACATTTATACAATGTATTTTGATCACATCCACCCACTAGTACCTCCCTCCAATTTCCCCTAGTGCACTCTATCCCATCTCACGCCCGATTTCATTTTTTTGTTTCAGTTTGTTATTAATAACTCCGAGTCCATTTAGTGTTGCCCATATGCACATAGATATTGGTCAGGATTTTTTTTAAGTTTTATTATTTTTATGTGTATGCATGTATTGCCTGCATGTAGGTAAATGCACCTGTGTTGTGCAATGCCTGCGGAAGTCAGAAGAGGCTGTCGGACCCCTGGGACTGGAGTTACAGGCAGTTGTTAGCCTCCATGTGGGTGCTGGGATCTGAACCCGGCTCTTCTGCAAGAACAACCAGTATTCTTAACCGCTGAGCCATCTCTGCAGCCCCTTGATCATGATTTTTAAAGAATTATTGGCATATCAAAAGGCCATTTAAATGAAATTCTAAGCCAAAATAGTTTAGTTTTATACAATTGGAAGCTATGCTGGGATACCAAAAATTGCAACTTTTCTAGTATGTATCAAAAAAATGGAAATAGAAAAGATTTGGGATTTCATTATTTCAAGCTCTATAAACGATCCTCTGTTGAAATGGTACACACATGAAAATCCCTAACAACAACTCAGTGCTGCTTCTAGATCAGTGACAGTTTCCACTACTGATTTTCTCTTAGGGGTCAAATGTCTCATTGTTCGAGAGAGGATGTACACATGTAAGTCCCATTAACATTAAGAGGAGTTTCCAGCATAAATCTCCCCACAGTGATAGACAAAAAGACCCTTCAGTCTACTAGGATTCAAGTTCTAATGATTACCTGTCAAATGGTCCTAGGAGTCATCGTCACCAGAAAGAGCAGACATAGCAACTTGCATGGCAAGGGCATCTCACTGAAGCCTACAGCTAAACTGAACTAATGGGAAGAAACATGGCCTTCAAACTGTGCCTTGGAATGCTAAGTGTTAAACCACTTAGTTGGTATTTTAACAGCTACTTCATTAAAGAGGAGAATTCAAATATATCAAAGCACTTGTTTTTTAAAAAAGTGTGAATACCCTGAGCTCCAAGATGCTTGAAGGATAACACTGCTACCTGTTTAAAAATTCAATTAACCTTATCTTTCTAAAACTTGATTTATAATAATCTCAAAGATAAATTACCAGTTTTAAAGAGTTCTGTTACCTTTGGATATATTCTGTTGGAGAAGCTTTAGGAACTACCTGGAATTGACAATGTCAGTCTTCTTTAGCTATTTGATTCAAGAAAAATCACAGCTTAATGGATTATTTCTGCATAAAAAGAACACAGTCTTTTTTTTCTATTGCAAGTAAGCTGTTGGAGACTCAAACACCCCAGGGAAAAGCAGTTACAGTTCTCATCACTAAACACGAAAACCATTTCAGAGTCTCTTCCTGTAAGTGAGATGTAAAAACAGGTTGTAGGTGATCAATATACTGTGGAGTCATAGCTCATGCCTCACAGTCTCACCAGTACTGATCTCAGACTAAAGTATCATCTGCTTTTGTTTGGTACCGACATTAATGCTGGTATCCAGAACATTTCCCTAAGTAAATCAAAGCCATGCATAATTTGATAACCTTCTGTACAAATTTACAACACTGGGCAGATGCCTTGGAATTAAAACCAATATACCATAATAACTATTTAAATAATAGCATTAAATAAAAAAAATTAGTCAAATCTAAGACAATTTTTCATTTCTTGGCATATATACATTTTGGTCTTTTTGTGGTGCTGAGACTGTACTTACGATCTTACATATGCTAAGTCAAAGCTCTGGCACTGAGCTATATCCCCCAAGTACTACATATCCAATTTGAATATGAAAAAAATAGCACACTGCAGTTGAAAGGCATTGAAAAGTCTTTATTTCCTCTGAAAATTTAATGTTACAGTATGCAAATTATCATATATTCATGCTCTTTAAAATACATATAAGAAATACTGGGTAAAACAGAAATTATTCAATAGCAATACATAATTAATTTGCAAGAAAACTTAATTTATGCTTTAAATGACTGATACTATTTAGGAACAAAATAACAATACTTAAAGATATACATATATATGAGCTACATAGATATATAAAGATATATAAAGTTATATATATATAAAAAAGTCAAAAATTAACAGCTAGAATTTCATCATTTCAAGGCCTTTATACAAATCTGCTCAACTGGTGTTTTCTTATTTTTCCTGCATATATAAAGATCTTGAACAGAGTAATAATAATTTAATGCTCCTTCTGGAGAAGTTAATTTTTTTTGGAAAGCTTTTTGGTAAGATTTTAGACAAAGGGCAACCAAATCTGAGAACAGTCTTGACAGAAATTAATAACTGTCAACAATCAAAATAATAATTATGGATATTATTTTACAACAATGGGTCACCAAGCTCAGAAACTACCCCTGTTCTAGAAGTTTCCCATTATTGTGGCCATTTTACCATAGAAAAATATAAATTGACATCTATTATATATATGTTTTCTTGGGCAGGCACACCAACTAGAAAAAATATACAAAAGCCACACAGGATTAGTTATTGGATCTTGTATCAGTCACTAAACTGAATGCCATATTGGTTAATAGGAAGCGTGCATATTTAACTATTTTGAATATATTAATCAAAATTCTTTAATAAGAGCAACTTTCATATTGTTAAATTATTGAAATACTTGCATTGTATATAACAGCAATTTTATTAATTTGACTTTAGGCTTAAGGTTTTATAATACTATCCAGAGGGTTATTTTTTTTGTCTTTTTTCTTACTTAAAGCAGTAATTAAGAAAACAAAAGAGAAAGCTTAGAACAATTACTATTACATTCTGAGGCAAAAGGAAATAGCTATAATCATCTACTAAGGTTTTTTTTTTTTTTTTTTTTTTTTTTAACCATCACTAATCATATTCAGGAGCTTGTAAGCATTTCAACAATATTTAATAAATGACCTGGAAGACGGATTCTGATAGCATTGACAGGATGAAAAAGATACAGTATACGAGCTGGGCCTTGACAGTGTGAAATGGCTGCTGCATCGCTCTATATATAGACAGTTGTAATATAGATGATATTTTTTCTAGTTTTGCTAAGCTGACCTACCCTGATTGTCTCCTATAGAAACAAGCATGCTGCATTCCAGAGGCCTTAACTCTAAGACTATAACAAAGTATAACATTTTTATTGGTGCATCTTACTGTGATTATATTCCAACTTACTACTCTCACCTAAGGGAAAGTTTTATATTGCTGGTATGAAGAGGCAAAACCAACACCTGATATACTTACAAGTATGTACTGGGCATTTAGTGCATCCCCAGTTGGGCTTCAGGAAATATTATCTGACTTAAGAGCTGAATTATGACAAACTAGGTTATAATGTGCTTCTGTCCCTGATTTGTGTGACATTAAAAAAAGGGAAAGGGAAGCACAGAGAAGGGGAGGGCTGCACACTGTGAGGCAGAGGCAGCCTGAGATGAACTGCCTGAAAGCCTGGGAAGTTGTTCCTTTTTTCTCAATTCAGCTCTATGTACAGGGGTTGGCAAGAGCTACATTCCTTTAAGATCTTGTTTGAGAACTGGAGAGATCAGGGACCAGCTGCTCATGAAGAACTCTGTGCTTTTCATTTGCGCTTTGACTCCAGACAGGAGACGTTGAGTTTGTTATGTATTCTTTATTTATTTACAGGTAGTTCTAGGCCCAAAGTATTGCTCAAAGAAGTAGACTATAGGAGCTTGGAAAAATTTCAATACAGGCATTGTAGCTAGATTTGCTGCCTATGTATAGCCCTCATATTTTAATGTGAAGTGTGCATTAGGGTTTATTGGCTGTCATAATCTGTTCAGTTCTTGATGCTTTCAGGTTTAGTTGCCCAAAAAGTAATATAAATTTATAAAGTATTCCTAGGACTTCAAAAACCACCATTCCACCTGTTACTATGTTTAATGGCTTATAAAGACTATTAAATATGAATTTAAGAAATAGGCTTTCATTTAAAAAGTCTATAGCAATAAAAACAACACTGTGATCATGAGGTCATTTGATATTTATCCACAGGTCAATCAACAGGAAAGTTTAGAAACAGTATTTTTTCCCAGAAAAACAATCTAGATGGCAATGCAATTACCTTCATAATCACTTTGACAGACTAGGCATAGAATTTGCACTTTATATATCAAGGAACTGAAGATAAGTGAAACAGTGTACCTAATGTTATATGTAGTATAGCCATGATCAAAATAGGTCTATAGACAAGGAAGTCAGTGCTCCAGTCACCAGACTTCCGGAGAATCGTGGAGTAACTTCTCTTCCATTCTTCCATTTCTTCATTTCTGAGCTTCTGTGAATATCTACATGATTCACATTCAAATGACTACTAAGAAATGGATTCATGATTATTAAAATGTCTAAACATCTTAGGTTCAACATTTCCCGTTGTTAACATAGAAAATAAAGTAACTTTTCTTTCAAACATAGGCTCTTGCCTGGATTATGATAGTTTTTCTCCATTGTATTAACATATGCTTTTAACATTTATAGCATGATTCTCATACCCAGCATGAAAATGCAGTTCAAATAACCAAAGTGAATATGTGAGCCAATTCTAAAGATGCAGTTTTCAAAAAAAATCTTAATTGGCAAACAAATTTGTGTAAACACCATGTAATAATTAACAATGCATAGGATCCCTTTCATAGCTACATTGCTGGGAATCAGTCCATTTATAATTTTCATCTGCTAACCTCATGGGTTTGGTATCTTAAAACAGGCAAGTCGATGTGCTTTGCAAGTGGTCTATTTTCTTGGATACCCTTTTCATTTTCTGTGACCTATTTCTTCTTGTAATTTTGCCTATCAATTGGCTATTGCCTTCTAAGAGTTTTCAAACACTCCTCCATCAAGTACATTGAAGCCAAGAGGAATTTCCAAAGTGGGGTATCAAATCTGATGCACATCTACTACTCAGCAGGCTCCTCTGGCTTTCTCACATCTGTAGTTTCCTTGAGAGTCTCTGAGTTGGCCTCTGAGGCCTCCGCTTGTGAGCTGTCTCCATCAAGGACAATATCTTCTGGATTTGGTGGGGGTGGACAGAAGTCTTCATTGGGGCAGATTTGCTGGAAAAGTGTTTCTGCCTAGACAGAGATGAAAGGATAAAATAATTTTTTGACATCAATTTCAAATGTATGTGAATTTGTGGTTCTAGCTAAAAAAAAAATAAATATCATCTTTGAAACTTTACATAACCAGGTTGTAACACTTTACCAGCACACATGGCTTAGCTTAGTATAGCAGTATAAGAGATAAAACAAGTACACATGATCCTAACTAATAAACAGACAACAGTAAATGTGGCAGCTGGCAATAATCCACCCCCGTATCAGTTAAGACTTTGCCATGCTAGGAGCTTCTACTCTATCCAAACGACGAAAAAGGGTCATTATAAGGTGCTATGAGATTTGCTTGCTTAAAATAACGTTTTACTATACCACTTCACATTTCTTCCCAGTGCACACAGAAGGTTATCTATTTGGCCAAAACCTGCCAGACTGTGGCCCAAACGTCTAATCTAGGCTGTCTTTTACGTTTGGAAATGAAAGTTTATTGGAACAAAGTTCACAGTTATTCATTTACTGGCTCTCTATATCTGCCTTTTCTCTTTAATGGCAGAACTGAGGAGTTGAGATACAGTCTATATAAATGGGAGTAAATATGGGTAAAGCCTAGAAAGGAGACCAAGAGAGGAAGTGGGGGTGGGGCATATGCAACATGAAAGTGGGAGGGAAACTAGGTGACAGGAGTACAACGGGTAGTTAGAGACAGGAAATATGGGGGTGGTGGAGAGAATTAATTAAAACAAATTGAAAATGCCACAAAAAGCAAAATACTTTGTATGGTAATTTAAAAAAGAAAACCTCATGGTTAGCATTTTTGGTGTGTGTAGTGAGGACACATAGCACTTACACTCTTTCCAAACTTCGAAAAATAATCCTGTCATCTATGACAATATGGATAGAACTGGAGAGAATTATAGTAAGTCAAATAAGCTAGGCACAGGAAGATGAATATTGTCATGATTCTACTTTCATGTGGAATCTAAGAAAGTCTAAATCATAGAACCAAGTAAAAATGTGGTTGGGGGCAAAAAAAATGAGGGAGATAAGGAAATGCTTATCAAAGGATATAAACTTTGAGTTATAAGATGCCTCACTTCTGTGGATCTATATCCATGTACTGCATAGTGATCACATTAACAGTGTACTTTTACTAGGAGCATGTTATCAGAGATGTCTGCTTTGCTCTTCAACCTACGGACCTTTCATATGTCTTTGCTGGAGACACCTGGCTCCTACTGTAGAGACTGGAGGACCTAAGTCAAGGCCTCTACCTCACACTTCAGTTCCCACTAATAGTCTTCTTCTGCATTTCTATCTTGACTGTAGAGGTTCTCTCTCTCCTTTACCCCTTGAATGCCATTTTACTCCTGGTAATGCCATTTTCTATTTATTTATTTTTTTATTTATTATTTTTATTTTGTGTATATGTGTATTGTCTGCATGCAGGTAAGTGCACCTGTGTCGTGCAATGCCCATGAAGGTCAGAAGAGGCTTTCGGATCCCCTGAGACTGGAGTTATGGACAGTTGTTAGCTGCCATGTGGGTGCTGGGATTCGAACCTGGGTCTTCTGCAAGAACAACCAGTGTTCTTAACTGCTTAGCCATCTCTCCAGTGCCCCCCCATTTTCTCTTTATTAAAACTATTTCTTCCCCAGTGCCAAAGTCTGAGCATGCATCATCTGTTACAGAGATGACTGACTGTGACAGTTTGTAAACTGCATTAGTCCTCTTGCCTCTAAGAACCTTCCCGTATGCCATAACCCATCTCTATGCTACTTTCAGTGGGGCTTTTGGAAAATGAAATTCTCTTTATGCCATTTTCTAGCTTAAACCTTTTCAAGGACTTTCCATTACCAACCAGATACAATCTGAGATGCTAACACCTGTGTGTAATATCTTCAGGACTTCCTTCCCAGGTCTTATCAGCTGACATTTCTTTCACCCTCTAGCTCTCAGATGTTTTCCTTCACTGCTGTTTATTTGGCCCTTCTTAAACATACCATGTTTATATTCTGGGCCGGTTAAGATGCTATTCTTTCCAGCTACACTGTTTAGATTCTCTTGTCTTGGATCAGGGTGAGGAATGCTTCTTATCTGCTTAGTCCCTCCTTGGAAGGTTTTCATTGTTTCTCTGCTCATTTTAACTGCTGAGTTTTAAACGCAAACCAATAAGTATTTTCAGTGTCTATGTCAGTATGTCTTCCAATCATAAGTTGTCACATATGAATACAAGAAAGTCAGACATACATACTCAATCTATATGCATTAACAAGTAAGAAAAGGTGCAACATTTCCAAATGCTGAAAACTAGCGTTTTAGTTCAGAAAGTAAAAAGGAAAATAACAGAACTCTGCAGGGGACTGTGTTTTCTACATGGACAAAGCTAAATTAATATTCTGAGAGCTTTCAGGAATAATATATTCATTTAGAAAACACAAACCACCTATTAGTGACTGCAATAAGCACATGATGATATACTGGAATTAGAACTCAATTTATCTGAGTAAATGGTAATTTATAAATATTACTGATCCTCTTAAAGTAGGCACATTATCCCTCAAACTGACAGGTGAAGTAATGTCACAAATTTCACACTATGTATATTTTATAGTATATAATAACTATCAAAACTAGCATTAATGCTGATTTCTTCTTTACCTCTGGAAGATATCTTTTTGCAAAGCAAATTGCTGGATGATAAAATTACCCTTAGTTGTAATCTTCTATCATGCAATATAGATCACATAGGTTCTTATATTATAAATCCTTATTTAAAAATCCTTCCTTTCTGGGACTGGAAAGATGGCTCAGTGGTTAAGAGTACAAGTTGCTCTTCCAGAGGACCCAGGATCAGTTCCCAGCACCCAACATGGCAGCTAACAACCATCCATAATTCTAATTTTAAGGGCTCTCACCCATCTGGTCTCCGTGGGCACTGCATGTGGTGTGCTTACATAGATGCAGGCAAAACACTCATACACATTACAAAAAAAGAAACAAAAATTTTAAAACCCTTTCCATTCTGGCTTAAATAAATAAGCTTACTGAGAAAACAAAACAACCCAAATTACTTGATTAAAGGCTTTTTGAAAAGTTCTTGTAAAAAAATTGGATCATCAAAATACCAGTGAAGTTTAAGTTTAAGCCATAAATGCATATGTTGGGCCATAGGTAAGAAGTTTAACTCCCTGCTCTTGTTTGATACCATTTGTTGCCTTAGTGGGATTTTCTAAGAACATTAGGCTCAGAAGATGAGACATAAAACATTTTGTCAAAAGACTGGACGATGGTCATGGTCATTGTCATAGCCTTGTTGGTATGATTAAAATTATTTTAAAGGTTCAATGAGGCCACTTGCTACAAAAAGATCCCTGTTCCTGCTGGGAAGGTAATTAGACCCATGCCATCTATGGTCTTAGATTAATATCACATCCTTAAGGTTCAGGGAACCTTGTGGAAGACTGGGAAGAAAGAATAGAAGAACTAGAGGATGGGGAAAGAGGTTGTGAAGTATCATCTTCTAAGGAAGACAGGGGCCATGGTAACCATGAACTAAAGCAGTTGTGTAAACTGTCATTGGATCCACATGAGTTGGGCCCTCCTAATAGTCAGCTATGGGGGTGAGGCACAGGGTCCTACTAGGTACTGCTGAATTATTGGCAACCAACAGATTTTGGTAGGGAGACATATTCTCCAGTTATATACCCATGGGTGAGCCCACCAGGCTCTCAAGGTTGGTACCAAACTCACATGGTCCTAATTAAACTCTGTAGAGGCACTAAACAAAAAACAAACCAGTAAATAGCGGAAAGAGATTTGTGGAAAAGGGGGGTGGGAGTGGGAGGCAAATAAAAGAGCACAAGGGAAAAATGACCAGAATACAAGGAATACACGTGTGAAATTGTAAAAAGAACAAAAATTGTTAAATTAACTACACAGTGATTCAAAGATGTGCCAAAAAGTATCTGAAAAAAGTTTCACAATTAGTCTCAAAACTATTTTCTTTTTTCTTCCTATCAAGTGTGAAGAAACATATTTTATATGTCTATGAATATTCTGCTTAATGGAATCATAATGGACCTTTGGCATCTGGAATCAGCTTATACCTCTTGACAGTCTAAACCAGGACAACTGTCACAAACTTCCACTTGGATTTAACATATGACTCAGCACCTATGATGGCATCTTGGTGCACTGGTTTGTCAAAACATTAATGTGGCCATGCTAATTGTGTAAAATGATATTAATCATTTTTTTCCAAGATTAAAAAAATACACTAAGAACACCATAAAATTAGATTTTGTATCACTTACTAGTTATACCCTTCTTGAAATGACTCAGATTATTGGGAGAAACCGTCATTTTCTCCAAAATAATACGCCAACAATACAATGATTTATATTAGAAGCAGTATTTCCTTAGAAGACTGGCATTTTATTTTAGTTTTTGTTGTTTTTAGTTTTTTATTTTTGGGAACTTCATACATGTGTACTGTATTTACATCATTTCCACTTCCTCCTCTGACTCTTCCAACAATCCCCATGCCTCTCCCAGCCTGTCTTAATTTCTCAAACTCTAATGATCATGGTCACACACACGTGTGTGTATGTGTGTGCATACATACATTCTATTCAGCAGCCCATAAAGTTTCTCTAAAATGGACCACATACTGGGACACAAAAAAATTTCAACAAATGCAGAACACTGACATTAAAATTCATCTTAAGGATGGATATATATTTCTAACCTCATCAACTCCTACTCCAATAATAGTACTCATAAATAACACTTACAATTTATCATAACATTAAAGGAAGTGAAATATCTGATAAAATTTATTTAAGGCAGCATTGTAGTTCACAGGAAAAATATTTGGGAACCATCTGGCTTTAAATGAGAAAAATGTTTTCCCTCCTCCTAGGGTGGGGGAACTTTCACTTTGTCCAGCACATCAACTTTTTAATACAAAACTAAGGAACACCAACAGCCTTACCTGTTTGACTGTGTTATCATTTCCTAAATCACAGTCTGGGCCTGAGCACACATAAACATTGGATGGTAAGTCATTATAACAATCTCTGTTGATGTCTGAAGAATCTCTCATATTGAAGTAGAGTGCCCATAGAATTCTTGGCTTTTCAATCTGCTCATTTTCTAAAGGTAGAAATAAATTTTATTTTCATTGTAAAACACAAGATGCCTGTTAATTACTACACTATGTAGCAAAATACAAATAAAGACATGACTAGACATTATAGAGTAAGAGATTTGTACAAAAGCAATTAGTGAATGTGCAAACACAAATTCTCATATAAGTGTATGATACATCAGGTAATGACAGCTTTTCAACCGAAGACAATTTTGATTCTAAAAATAATTTTGGGGGGTTGGTGAGATGACTCAGTGGGTTAAGACACTTGTCACCAAGACTAAAGACCCAAAAGTTGTCCCCAGCACTCAGGAGGCAGAGGCAGGCAGATCTCTGTGAGTTCGAGGCCAGCCTGGTTTACATAGTGAGTTCCAGGACAGCTGGGGCTACAGGGAGAACCTGTCACAAAAAGACCAAAAAAAAATATACAGTTAAAAATTAACAAAAATTATTTGAGCAGTAAGCTAGTATAATTTAGCTTTAATCTTAAATTTTTGGATTTCTACTATGTTTTCTTATTAGCAGAACTATAATCATATCCACCTTTAAATTATCCCCATGAAATTGAAACATAATATAAATCTTGTTTCACATAGAAACTCAACTTGATGTTATATAGCAAACTAAAATAGCACAATTATGAAATGTCCAGAATAAATAAAATGAAGAGATATGAACTGATGGTTACCTAGAAATGGGAGGGGGGTAAAGGGGCTGTTGATGGGTGTGGAGTTTCTTTGGCAGGGGACAGAATTAGAAATCATTGAAAATTGAATATAGAGATGGTTAGATAATTATGTGAATATACTTTTCAGAATGGTTGGAGAGATGACTCATCAGCTAAGAGCACTGGCTACAGTTGCAAGGGACCCGGGTTTGGTTCCCAGCAACCACATGGTGGTCAACAACTGTCCAAAACTCCAGTTTCAAGGGAATCTTATGTTCTCTTCTGGCCTCTGCAGGCATTGTATAACACAGGTCCACTTATACACATGCAGGCATGTATATGTGTAAAATAAATATTTTTTTAAAAATTCTGGAATTTCATATTTCAAATGGGAAAATGTTATGGCATATGAATGCTATCTTTATAAAATACTATTTAAAATAGCATATATGGAATGAAAATTATATATCCTAACTTACATTCTAATGCTTTATGTTACTGGATCACAAAAACAATGGGAACCAACAAACAATAACAAAAATGAGGCCAATAGATTGAATGTCATCTTGAGTACAAGTTCTCTCATTTAAAGGAAGGCATCTATTATGCATACTGGGCAATAATATAGAAGCTAGGACACACAGACAGAGTATACTTAGCCCTTATCCCCTCCTTTTTATAGTTCTCTGGAATACAAGGTTTAGCACACAATAGACAATAAATAGTTTATCCATTGATCTTAACCCCATTTTCTTTTTTTTTGGTCTTTTTGAGACAGGGTCTCCCTGTAGCCCCAGCTGGCCTGGATTCTCTATGGAGAGCAGACTGGCCTTGAACTCACAGAGATCCGCCTGCCTCTGCCTCCTGCTTACAGAAAGATTCAGTCTTGTTAACCTCAATTCCTGAAGCCCATTTCTTATTATACTAAGGATTTCTTTGTCTCTCTTCTTTTCCTTTAAAATGCTAGGATAAGGAAAAAGAAGAAGCTCAACAGAGGTAGGATCATAGGAGCAAGGGTATTAGTAAGGAAGAAAGGCAGGGAAGTGGGGGCACCTTAAGTGGGAAAACCATGATAGAGGGGGGAGACGATACAAGAGAGAAACAATGCCTAGCTAGTCACGAAAACCAGAGGGAACCATATTATTCCTACAATCTACTGACAAATTATACTTAACAGATCAAGAAAAATATCTCTAGATAAGACTTAATTGAGACCAACTGGTCATTACCCAAGACTTATCTGCATGACACACAGTAATTAAAAATGCCAGGATGGTGGAACTAACCTTCTTGCATGTTTAACAGACATACCTTGAGATCTATACTAATTGGGTCAGAGGGACACAAAGGACACTTTTTGCTCCTCGCCCTCCTAGGTAGATTAGTTCCCATGACTATGAGCATCTCGCAAAACATCCTGTAAAGGTGGTGGGTCATCTGACCTCTTGATCAAGGAGGCCAAGGAGACCCCACCAGATGG